CCCCCGGGTTGGAAGTGTCCCCGAAGTTAACGCCTTGGCAGTTGGTTGGCGCCCGCCGCTGAAGCCTGGTGGGTGGTTGGGTGGTATGGTGGAGGGGTGGGGGGGGTACAGGGTAGTGGGTACAGGGTGGGGTGCAGCATGGCAAAAGGTAGGAAGGTAGTGGATAGGATGGAGAGAGGTGAGGATGGAGGGAAGGGAGGGAGAAGGAAAAGAAGGAGAGATGGGGAAAAAGAGACAAGGAGGGAGAGGGAAAAAGGAGCAGATAAGGAGGGAGAGGGGAAAGGAGTTAAGGAGGGAGAAAAGGGTAAAGAGGGATGGTGGGAGATGAGAAAGGGAGATATGGAAGGAGGGGAGGGATGAGAGAAGGAAGAGGATGAGGAGGGAAAGGGGTAAAAGGAGATAGGGAGGGAGATGGGAGGGATGGATAAGGAGGGAGATGGAAAGGAGATACAGAGAGAAGGTGAAGAGGGAATGAGGTAGATGAGAAAAGAAAGAGAATGAGTAGGAGCAGGAGGAGGAGGAGGAGAGAGAGAGGGAGGAGAGGAGGAGGAGGAGAAGAGGAGGAGGAGAGAAGAAGAAGAGGAGGGAGGGAGAAGGAGGAGGAGACAGAGGAGAAGAAGAAATTTTCTTCCTTGTTATCACATTTAAATAATATCAAGTTTTAAAATTTCAGTACAACGATCACATAAATTCCCTATTCATAATCAGCTATAGTGATTTAATGGGATGTGCAGTATATATAAGAAATATGTTTAAAATCTAAGCATAATTCACTCTCTACATAGGGATACAGATGAAATATCCATACTCCTAAATAAGTACATGTGCATGTGCATATGCAATTGTGTGTCTATATCTGTCTGTGTAGCTTAATGACTGTGCATCTATTCATACCTATATATACACATGAACAGTTTTATGCATGTATATGTTATTTGTTTGCATCTGTGTCTCTATAAATTTGTGTAAATCTAAATGTTTATGGGCTCAATATTTACAAAGTCAACAACGATCACAAAGAAAAGCATCAGTCTTCGAAGATTTGGCCCCCAAAACATCACACCTGCTGCTAGCCATCAAGCCACTCTAGACAGAGTATCTACTTATTTACCATCTGCCCATATACATATATATGCCTACATGTACATACACATACAGCATATGTATGCTGGCATCCATAGCCACACCCAACCATGCACTCCAACCCCTTCCCTCTCTGTCTCTCTCTTCCATTCTCTCTCTCCCTCTCTGTCTCTCTCTCCCACTCCCCTCCCTCCCTCCTTTCTGTCTCTCTCTCCCACTCCTCCCTTCCTTCCTCACTGTCTCTCTCTTCTACTCCTCCCTCCCTTTCTGTCTCTCTCTCTCCCACTCCCTCCCCCCTCTCTGTCTCTCTCCCACCCCCTCCCTCCCTCTCAGTATCTCTCTCCCACTTCCTCCTCCTCCTGTTTGTCTCTCTCTCCTATTCCCTTCCTCTCTCCCTGTCTCCTCTCCCTCCCTCCCTCCTCCCTCCCTCCCTCCCTCCTCCCTCCCTCCCTCCCTCCTCCCTCCCTCCTCTCCTCCCTCCCCTCCCTCCTCCCTCCCTCCCTCCCTCCCTCCCTCTCTCCTCTCCCTCTCTCCTCTCCTCTCCTCTCTCTCTCTCTCTCTCTCTCACTCTCTTTCTCTCTCACTCTCCTTTCTCACTCACTCACTCCCTTTCTCACCCACTCACTCACTGTCTCTCTCTCCCTCTCTTTCTCTCTCTCTCCCTTTCTTTCTCTCTCTCCCTCTCTTTCTCTCTCTCCCTCTCTTTCTCTCTTTCTCTCTCTCTCTCTCTCCTCTCTCTCTCTCTCTCTCTCTCTCTCTCTCTCTCTCTCTCTCTTCTCTCTCTCTCTCTCTCTCTCTCTCCTCTCTCTCTCTCTCTCTCTCTCTCTCTCTCTCTCCTCTCTCTCCTCTCTCTCTCTCTCTCTCTCTCTCTCTCTTCTCTCTTTCTCTCTTCTCTCTCTTCTTCTCTTCTCTCTCTTTCTCTCTCTTTCTCTCTTTCTCTCTTCTCTTTCTCTTTCTCTTTCTCTTTCTCTTTCTCCCTCTCTTTCTCTTTCTCCCTCTCTCTTTCTCCTCTCTTCTCTTTCTCTCTCTTTCTCTTTCTCCCTCTCTTTCTCTTTCTCCCTCTCTTTCTCTTTCTCCCTCTCTTTCTCTCTCTCCCTCTCTTTCTCTCTCTCCCTCTCTTTCTCCCTCTTCTCTCTTTCTCTCTCTCTCTCTATTCGCACAAAGCAACAACTGGAGTTATTGAGGAGCCATCAAAGATAAGGAAAACTTGGTAAACAAACTATACATTCACTGTAAGGGTAAACTCATTCACTCCACGCAGAAATTCAATGCCCACTACATGGCCTGAAATAAGAGTGGAGAGAGAAGGTTTGGGGTAGAGGGAATGAGATGGTGTAAGGGGGAGGGGTATGTATGTATGTATGCAAAAAACACTCATTCTCCCACAGCAGTAAAGCAAACGGTGTCCCTATCTCTTACTACGCAGCCAACGGCAAAAAAGCAGGGCATGGGTGTGAGAGGTACGAGGTGGGTGAGTATTGGGGTAGTGGTGCTCTGAACACTCATTCACTCACTCACTCTCTCTCAACAATACACTAAAGCTACTATAAACGACAGAAGCAAGTAAAGTAAGGAGGTGGGAGCGTGGGGCATATGAGGGGTATGCGAGGAGCAGTGGCAGACGGTGCGCGGGCCGCTTCTCTCTTTCTCTTCACGCATCCATACTTACTAACCCGTTCCAGGTACTGTATTAGTAAGGCTTCCAAAGCCTCCAGGCCCAAAGGAGGTTGCTGGCTTGGGAAAGCCACCGCTGCCTCCTGCACCTCCTCCACCACCTCCACCACCACCAAAGTTAGTCAGAAAGCCAAACCCTGTTAGTCATTAATGAGAAGAAGAAGTCGTTAGTACAGAATCTCTTTCGAAGAGGGGTGGCACCATCTACAGTTGCTTTGGGTTTAGATTTCCTTTCAGTAGAGAAGCTATGATTTTATCAGTAACATTGAAGAAATTTCCTGATTCTATCTGTAATACATATTTCTAAAACCAGTAACATAAAATGTTTTCTTTTATACTTTTGCAAGTAATAAAATATGCCAAAACTTTCAACTCCCTTCAGAAGATCCAAATTTTCTCAGTAATATATGGAAAAAATTCTTTGGTTTTAATACCAAATAGAATAATGAAATATCTTGAAATTTCATTATCATTCTCTAAAAATCTAGGCCTTTTTCAAAACGGGTTTTCTTGTCATTCCATTCAAAGGCTTAATTCTATCATAATATCTAATATTATTAAATCCCTGCCATGGCAATTGCAATGGGGAAGGTAGAAGCTCAGTGGTAGAGAATTGCCTTTACAACTGCTTGGTCCCAGGGTCACTGTGATTGAGTACTGACATCAACAAGCTGGGGTCAAAGTCAGGTTGGAGAGGAAATGGACACCCTATCACATCATCCTATGGCTTGGAATAGTCCTATATGAAAAGGCTATGGCTGTTCAGTAAGATGAGCTACCCATAATATGGCGGTAATCAAACTATTGTAAAAAATTATGAATGTGACATTCTCTGTCTAAGAGCATACACGCATTTATTGATTAGACTAAGAATATTATAGTTACTTTTCACTTCTAGTTCACAACAAACCCACAACGAAATCTAAAAATATATTTCCTTTTAAGAGCTCTCTCTTAAATTCAAAGGCTATTTCTACATTATGTTATATAATACAATTTGGAGAGAATGGCTTAATCCATAATAGCAGTATATCAAAAATATAACAAACCAGGGAAATAAAGAACAAGAGAAGACCAAGGAAAATTCAAGAGTACAGAGATTAAATATCAACAGGTAAGCATAAAGTCAGAAATATTTACAAAATTCTGACTAAACAAAGATATGATATGGGAATATTGATAACAGGGGAGGCAAGAAATCTATAATCATTAGCCTTCATAAATAAGACAAATAAAAAGAGAGAGAGAGAGAGAATAATTCATGAAACTTGCAAGTAAAGAAATCAAAACACCTCACACTGCTTTAAATATATTTTCATCTGCAAGATCTATTTCAGACCCAATCAAATATACAAGATTGAGAAAACTGCACAAATAAAGATACCATGCCATAACACCTACTTTTTAAAAATCCTGTTTTTTTTTTTCTTCTTCTTTTTTTAAGCATTCAGAAAAGATCTGACTTGTTCTTACCTTGTGTGGTTGCAGTGGTGGCCGGTGCGGCTGCGCCGAATGTAGCACCAAAGGCTGGAAGGCGAGAAAATATTCCTTAGGGTGTAATACGTGAGGACTGAGTGGTTTGGGGGAAGGGGGGTCGCTAGGGTTAGGGTAGAGTGTTAAAAGGTGTGAGAAGGGGGGGAAGGAAGGAAGGAAGGAAGGAAGGAGGAGAAAGAGAGGGAAGAAAGAGAAAGACAAAGAAAAGAGAGAGAAAAGAGAAAAAGGGAGAGAAAGAAAAAGAGAGAGAAAGAAAAAGAGAGAGAGAGAGAGAGAAGAGAGAGAGAGAGAGGAGAGAGAGAGAGAGAGAGAGAGGAGAGAGAGAGAGAGAGAGAGAGAGAGAGAGAGAGAAGAGAGAGAGAGAGAGAGAGAGAGAGAGAGAGAGAGAGAGAGAGAGAGAGAGAGAGAGAGAGAGAGAGAGAGAGAGAGAGAGAGAGAGAGAGAGAGAGAGAGAGAGAGAGAGAGAGAGAGAAGAGAGAGAAAGAGAGAGAGAGAGAGAGAGAGAGAGAGAGAGAGAGAGGAGAGAGAGAGAGAGAGAGAGAGAGAAGAGAGAGAGAGAGAGAGAGAGAGAGAGAGAGAGAGAGAGAAAGAGAAGAGAAAGAGAGAGAGAGAGAGAGAGAAAGAGAGAGAGAGAGAGAGAAGAGGAGAGAGAGAGAAGAGAGAGAGAGAGAGAGAGAGAGAGAGAGAGAGAGAGAGAGAGAGAGAGAGAGAGAGAGAGAGAGAGAGAGAGAGAGAGAGAGAGCAAAAAAAAGAATAGAGAATGAGGGTGGGAGAAGGGAGAAAAGGATAAAGGAAATAAAAGGCAACAGAGTATTAACAGGATCATCTTAGTATTATCAACAAAGCTATCACATAATTTTCTCAATGTGGCAAATCCAAGAACGACAAAAGCTCATGCCAGCCTCCTACTCACGAGATGCACTTGTGGTGGGGTTGGCAGCAGTGCCGAAGCTAAAACCTGGGAAACAAGAAGGAAACCGTAAATATATTATTCATGTCACATTCAGCACATAGAGAGATGCTGAGGTGACATACTCAACTCGAATATTCCCAAACTGGGATTTTTCAATAAACATTCATCGAGTTTTGGGAATATTTTTGTTGTCCAAAAAACACACAACACTAAGGTAAATGCAAATGCAAATGGAATAAGCCATAAATTTCTTTTTTGAGAGCAAATGAAACTTCAATATTTTAGAAGCAAAGAAACCATATATACAAATACTCTGAGACAAACAAAAAAGCAAAAGAGACGCACGCACACACACACACACACACACACACACACACACACACACACACACACACACACACACACACACACACACACACACACACACACACAAAAATAAAATAAAATAAAACATAAAAAGCAATGCAAAGGCATCCCCACTGGGACAAAGTGACAGAACAACCGTCCTTTTACCTCCAGGGGCACTTGTGGCCGGTGCACCGAAGCTGAAACCACCTGTGGGAAATGATAGAGTTTAAGTGGTCTTGTTGGCTTTCCAAAGTGATTACGAATGGGAGGGCTGTCTATGATTCAACTCTGAGGCTATGGTGTTCATCTGCATAATCTATTTCTCTTTACCAATGCACCCAATATATATATCCATGTGACAATGGTAAAGATGTATACAAGTTCAAGATTAAGGTAGAAAAATATATAACCAACATGTTTATGTAAAACACACAAACACACACACATGTATGTACATGTACACACATGCTCACACCCACACAGCAACCCCCCCCTACCCCCCCTAAACACACACACACACACACACACACACACACACACACACACACACACACACACACACACACACACACACACACACACACACACACACACACACACACACACACACACACACAAGCTTCATATGGAACAAATAGTAGATAAAACAAGGAGACAAGAATGCCAAAGACCTTTTCCCAATACTGCTTCTGTGTGGTATGAAGAAAAAATACAGAAAAGGCCTTCGGCACAGTCACATATCTTCTTGTTCTTTCCTTCGTCATTTAATTTAGACACGCTAATGCATGAAACCCTACCTCATGATCACACACATACCTTCAACAAATCTCGCTCTGCATTTCCCTCTCAAACAATCTAAAAAGAAATCCTCAAATATGACAATTGTTTCCCTATTCCTGTCATTCCTCCGGCAGTGACAGACTTCCTTTTTCTCTCTGTCTTCAAACGCTACAAACTGCTTACCTGTTGTTCCTGTCGCTGCCCCCGCAGTGCTGGTGTTTCCGAAAGTGAATCCTAAAATACGAAAAAATAGGAAAAGGGCATGAATCAATTTTTATAGTTATTGTGATATTTCAACAGTTATTAATAAGCAAAACAATAAGACTGGGCCTTAATCAGTAAAACACTAGCATAAAATAATAATAATAAAATTACAATAACAATGATAATAAAAAAAGGAAAAAAATAAATAAATAAATAATAACAACAATAACAGTAATATTAATAATAATGATGAAACAATAATAACATAATATTAAAATATAATAAAAAATAAATTAGTAATAATGATAACAATTACAATAATAATAACAATAATAATTATCATAATTATTATAAATATTATAATTATAACAATATTAGTAACAATAATAATTATCATAATTATTATAAATATTAAAATCATAACAATAATAGTAACAATAATGATGACAATAATATAAATAATCATCATAAAAAAAGCACTGACATCAAAACAAAATGGGAAAAAAAAAAAAAAAAGCTTTCTCACAAAATCAGAAAAGTTTGTCGAAAAATAAAAGAAAAACAAATGACACACTAAAAACGATGGATAACAATGTGACCAGAATGGAGAAACGTGATACATCTCCCTTGGTTCCAACCCAGCCTTCCTTCCGCCATAGAAGAGCTGGAATATCATGCGCAAGAGAGAGCGATGATTAGGAAGCAACGGAGAGCAAAACGGGAGACGGAAAGAAAAACGAAACGAAAGATGAACATGAGTGGGAAGACTAAAAACAAGGGGGAGAAGAAAGTAAAATGCAAAAGGAGGAGAGGTTAAAATAAGATTAGGGTGATGAGGAATGAGAAAGGAGACAAGGGAGATATGACAGTTGGAGTTGGATACGTGTGTGTAGATAGATGGACAGATAGACAGACAGATTAACAGACAAATAGACAGGTTAATGAGAATCAAAGATGGTGAAAAAAAAAAAAAAAAAAAGTCAGTGAAATATAAGAAGAAAAAAAAGTAAAAGAAATAGATTGAAAGACAAAGACAGACAGAGATACAGACACAGACAGATAAAAAGGCACACAAACTGAGAAAGACTATGACCTCTCATCTAAGAGAAAAATACCGACAATGACCCAGCGACAGATATACCTGTAGAACTAGCAGTCGTCTTCGGCGCAGTGCTCGTCCCTCCGAAACTAAAACCTGGAAAAAGCGAGACGGAGAAAGCACTTAAAGAAGGCTGCTCAGAACGAGAGAGAGGCCTTCCAGATCAGCGAAAACACTCTAGTCTGATTGCACTCATACATGGCTTAATAAGCAAAAGAAAGCAGGGTAAATATGTTGCAAAAATTAAAGCTTTGTCATGAGCAAAAGGTATACAAACTGAAAAACAATATCATCTCATTTTACGAAACATGGCATTGTTCATGGAGAGAATGCATGATAGAGAAAGGAGAGTGTGAGAATAAAAGAACAAGAGAGAAAGTGAGAAAGAGAACAAGGGAACAGAGAGAGAGGAAAGAGAAATGAGAAAATAAAAGAAAGAAAAAAAAGAAGAAAAAAAAAGATATGACAAGATATGAATTAAAGAAAAGGAGACAGGAAAAGACAAGAAAAACAAAGGGAAGAGAAATAAATGAAATGACACTACAAAAGCTGGCTTTTTAACCATGCAAGAAATGTTAAAAAGGGGCAGATACAGAAAAGTTGCACAAAGACAACAAAAGACCAGCAAAATCTAAATGGGAGAAAGAAAACATCAAAAGCTTGATGACAAGATCCTCACAATTTGTAAAGGACCCAGAAGGTTGTTGGTCCGGCAGCATCTTTGGATGAGAAAGGTGAAGAAGAATCCTTGTTAGAAATCCTCCTGGACCAAGGACCTCCCCAAGGACATCCTCCTCCTCAAGCCAAGACTCTACCTTAGGTCAGCAGGCTGTCCAAAGGGTCATGGACCGGCACAGACCATCAGAGACGCCAGCTTACCTTCATGATGCCAACATCATGGGGGCATCACCCGACCCAAAACCAAAGGTGGCAAAGAGTAAAAAAAAAAAAAAGACACACAAAAGACACTAAATACAAAACTAGAAAAAGAAAATCAGAAAAAGGAAGGAGGAGAAATCTGTAATACCGAAAATAAGAAAGGGGAAAAGGTCATTAAGAGATACCTGTAGACGCCGCAGTGCTTGTGCCCGCCGTGCTCGTGCCTCCAAAGCTAAAGCCTGGAAAGAGAGCCTTGTTTGAGAAGGTCGTCAGGTGGACTCGTATCTACATCAGAAAGATTGTTATTACTGATGAGGGAAAAAAAGAGGAGGATAATAACAATAATAATAATAAAAATAATGATAATAATAATAATAATGATAATAATAGCAATAATAATAATTATTATTATAATAATAATAATAATAATAATAATAATAATAATAATAATAATAATAATAATAATAAACAATAGTAATAATCATACAAATAACATAAGAAAAATAATAATAAAATAGCAATAATATCCAATAATTAGGAGGAACAAAAATAATTCTGACATCAATAATTATTAATAAAATATGACCATAATTCTAAGAAGAACAACACAGCAATACAAAAACTACAATAACAATAATTGTATAAGCAAGAGACACAAATAATTAACCACTGCTATACCTCTAACTAAAAAAAAACTAATAAACAAATAAAAACTAAAATAAATTTTTTTACTAAACAATCCATCTGTCAAACATGCATCACCACCTTAAAATTATTCTTATTTTCTTATTATCCTTCTAGGCTACCTGTCGTTCCTGTCGATGTGCCCGTGGTTGTTGCCGTTCCGAAAGCAAAGCCTGTGGCAAAATTGATTTCCATGAATGATAACTGGGCTTGAATGAGGCTCGATTGCTAGAAGCTAATTCTCTCTGACTCATGACAAAATTGAATACTTTTTGGTAAAGCTAAATTCTCACTTTTACTTTACGTTATGCTATATCTTATACATATACAATTATATATGGATAAAATATATACATGTGTACACACACACACAGACACACACACACACACACACACACACACACACACACACACACACACACACACACACACACACACACACACACACACACACACAAACACACACACACACACACACACACATGTGCGTGTGTGTCCACACACATGCACACACACGCACAAGCGCATTACTATATGTGTGCACTCACGCACACCATGCACACACACACACATACACACACACAAGCATACACACACACAGCACACACACACATACACACACACACTATACTTCTTCGCTTCAACCAAGCACTTACAGAAAAATCTCACACCTCCTCTGCATCCCATCCCATTCCTCCATTCTCTCCTCTCTCTCTCTAAACACAGTACCCCAGAAGCTAAAAAAGTCATTACCTTGAGCCGTTGTCGTCCCTGGATTAGTTGCCCCAAAAGTGAATCCTGCGAGGGAAGGCCAAGAGGGTGAACTATTCTGCATCTGCTCCTTATTCTAGATAGTGAGATGTATATAGTTCTTACTTAATTACTCTCTTAATTCTTGTCATCCAGGGTCGGATTAAAGGGCTAGAACTAGGGCTTCCTCAACATTTTATTTTATGGCCTGTGATGCAAAACCATACTGCATCAACTTGCTTTTTCCTTACATCCATCAAGCTGCTTGTAACTGATAAACAAAACACTGTACCTTCTTTTTACATCACTGAAATCACACAGCATCACAATTGTACTTAATCATAACTGCCCTTAACATAACATTAGACTAAGAACAAGAAATAAAGAGATTTAATCTTCCGGAGCCCATAATCCGACCCTGTTAGCGAAAAGAATCATACTCACATGCACTCAACTACTGCCAAACTTTCAAGACTTATATTGGTGAAATATATCTCTATATCACAAAAACTAAACTTTGACATAAACTAACACAACACAAGAACACCAATACAATGCTCCCTTTACCAACAAGGCATTAACCACATTGCAAGTGTTTTACATGACTACATTACATAAGCAATTAAGACTATTTTCCTTACCACTAGAGTCCATTCCATCCAGATATATAGGAGGTTCTGCCCCCTTTCATTAGTGACACTGACAGACAAACTGTTATTGCACCACACATTATTACTTATCTCTCTTTTATACAATTATGAGATCAGTTCAAGAATAAAGTACGATTTTTATGATGAAAGATCATCACTACCACTGCAAAATCACAGCATAGAAAAAATATAGTCAATACAATGGTAAAGCCAAAGTATGAACTTCATACACCCCCTTTCCTTTGATCACAAATCGCTAATCAAGAAATAGCTTGACCACTGGCAACAGATTGCGACACACCACCATTAACCTTGTTTCCACTGAAGCAGACACCCCAATAAACCTTCAGCTTTACAATTGCATAAGCCAATCTTAATGTGATTAATGGGGCAGGAGAAAGGGCAAATACAATTATCAGACTTGACAGCTTTGCCAACATGCACATTACATGTTTCAAAAGATAAAGTGAATCCGGCTATAATTCTAATTCTCCAGTCACATATGCTTGTATTAAAGCAATCAATGATAAATGAGAAACATAATCTAGAAATGATGAAAACTGTAAACTCAAGACAAAGAAATACTATTACTCAGACAAACTCAAATGCGATTATCAAAATATCAATCGTGAAACATCCCCGTTACCCGTGACACTAAGCCTCAGCCTAGAAGGGGACGGGGCCTCCTATATATCCAGAGTGATAGGCAATATCCTTCTCCATTACAATCATTACGGCTGCACATGTAGTAATCTTCCCAATGCTTAACTTACCGCCTCCACTTGGTGCTGTCGACCCACCAGTACTTGTTGTACCAAACCCGAAATCTGGAAAAAGAAAAGTGTAAAATCAAAATATGCTGCCTCTTATGAACACTTTATTACCTTTTGGTACTGTGCTTCACCAATGCTGTCTTTTCATGTCTTCTCTGTTTTAAGTTATTTTCTGTCTTTCTTCCTAATACTGCTATGAGAATTTATATCAATATCTATATTCATATCTATATTTCTTATTATTATTGACAACTATCTGTCTACCCATCTATTCATCTATCTGCCAGTCTATCTATTTATCTATCTACCAATCTATCATCCTTCTATCTACCTAAAAGTCTGTTGGTCTGTTTAAATACTACACATAAACAAAGAGATATCTATCAAACTGTGTATATAGCTATATACAATACAAACGTATATGCAAATAGATTTATAAATACACAGATAAACTCAAATGCAAATGCATTTATAAATACATATACACAGATCAACATCACAGATATAAAAGTAGGCATACATGCACCTACCTAAACTTACATACACATCCACATCAATATAAACACAAAGTGCATACAGCATTCTGTATATACTTATGATTCCCCTCACATGACAACTCCAGAAGCCAAACACAACACTTGCAGCTTTAAAATCCACCCTCTACATCCCAATACCTTCCCCAAAATACCCACCAGAGGAACGCACTGACGACACATCTTTAGTGAAATCTTTGAGCTCTTCTGACCTTGGCTTCCTGCAAGAACTAACACGCCTTCTTTTTGCGTTACTGGGGTTAATGTCTCTCCTGCAGGCCATAACGAGACTCGACGACTTTAAAATCAAATACTCAGAAAATAAAAAACTTGAGAAAATAGTGCGAAACAATGCCCCATCTCTTAGGTAAAAAAAAAAAATATATATATATATATATATATATATATATATATATATATATATATATATGTATATATATATATATATAATATATATATATATATATATATATATAAAATATATATAAAATACAATATGTACGAGAACTTCACTGCCACTACATATGATATGCTTTCACCAGCGTCCAAGTTAACATCCCTCTCCAAGTAATTACACGCATTGTTCTGAGATAAAAGAGCATGTTCTTTTTGGGGGGCCCTCGATGTGTCATTCAA